GTAATGGTGGTTGAGCAAAGGCAAAGGTAGATCACATTTACTAGAGCTTTCTAAGCTATTGTAAGGACATGAACATTCTGCAATGGGAAAGCATGTAGTACTTGAGCAGAAAAGTGAAATAATCTGGTATATGTTTATAAAGTGGCATTGCAGGCAAGAAGAAGCAAGGACTTAAAGTGCATGGGGGATATAATCTAAGGGTAAAAAGACAAAATTAAAAAAGTGGATTCAGGGTGATAATTAAGGGTAAATACAAGATTTTCTGGTTTGGAGTACAGTTCCCATTTACTGGTATGAGGAAGACTAGAATGTGGTAGATTGTAGGTGTGTGTAAGTTGTAGGTGGGTACAAATTAGTTTTGGACATGTTGAGTTTGATTACACATCCAAATGATGTCAAATAGGGGTTTAGACATGACTCTGGCATTCAGGAGTTAAGACTGGAGATAAAATGTGGGTGTTGTCAGTGTATACATTTATGTGCATTTGTTTTAAGCCCCAAGACCAGAATAGATCACCTCGATAAGGGATATCTAGTGGTGAACACTCTAGGAATTCAGTGAAGAAGTAATCAGAGAGGTGATAGAAGAGTATGAAAGCAATTCCTAGAACTAAGAACACATTTTAAGAAGGAAGGTGTTCTTATGTCAGATATTGTAGACCAGTCAAACTTCATGGAATCAAGGCCTCATCACTGCAGTCAGCAGGGTGGAGATCACTGATATCTTTAGCAAGACTTACTGTGGTGGAGATGGAAGCCTACTTTGAGTTGGCTCAAGAAGCCAAGAGAGGAATTGGAGGGAGTAAGTATATACTATTGTCCCTAAAGAGCTGTGCTATGAAGGGGAAAAGTTGTTAGTTAGAAGAGGTAGCAGGGCAAAGGAGGGTGTTTATAGGACAAGAGATAACAGCACAGATGTAATGAAATCTTTCAGTAGAATTGGAAATATTGGTGAGGCAGGTGAGAGGAGTATATGGCCCAGGCCTTTATCTGGTGCTGTTGGATATGATCTACCTAGAGCCAGTGGGAAGTACTGCTCGCTATCAATTAAGGAGGCTGCGTAGGAATTGATAAAGGAAAGTTTCATGGGACCAGATCAGGAAACTGTACAAGACCAGGGTTTTAGTGGGGTTGTGTAAGTTGGTATCACAATCACCAAGGATTAAAAAAAGGCGCTGTTGGAAGGTGACAATGAGCCAAGAGCTAAAATACTGAAGCAATGATAGAGTGAGCTAAGGTAATTGGAGAGTCCGGGCCTCTAGCAGGAATTTCAAAACACTGGGTGTTTGGAAGGAGGGACATAATAGTCTGGAAGTTACAATGAGGAACAAGGTCATCCTTTACTGTTAAGGTTTTATTCTTCATATTTTGACAGAGATAAAATTATGTTCCACACTGTGGCAGTAACTATATGGGAAAGCCAGGGCTTAGAACCTATAGGAGCATTTCTAACAGCTTGGAACAAATGTAGACAACTGAAGACTTTTTATGCAGGAAAAAATACTTGAGAGTAGACAAAAGGTTCAGACTGGAACATAGGCCAACAATATTTTCTTCTTTTTTTATCTTGATACAAGTGAGATTATATATCCAGGCACAGCACATTTTTGACAATTTAAAATGCTTAGAAAACTGGGATTTAATGTAAACAATTGTAGGCAATGCAAAAATGATAGTTTACCCTTCCAATATTGCAAAACTGGCATCTCTACAGTTATGTTAACATTGTAAATAAGACAGCTTAAAATGTACAAAAATAGCTTTACAATATCCAATTTTAAAATTCATCCAAGCTGTCATCTCTCTTTTTTTTTGGCTGCAGATTTATTTCTGGCTGTCACCTAACATTTGAAATTCTGATTCTTGGTAATGTCTAAGGTTTTAAAATAAACCATAGCACAGTGTTACTATTTCATAAGCTAACCTCAGGGGAAGAGATAAAAGAAAAGGGCTGCTGGGGGGACATGGCATTCCTATGTACAAATAATGATCCATTGCTGGAAATGAAAACTCACCTTTCCACCAGTATTTGCTCAGCCTTGACTGTGTGATCTTGGTGCTGATCAAAACAAACTTTCCAACCAAATTATCATGCACGGAGCTGAGTTATTTGAAGGTGTCTACACAAAGCCAAACATCCAGAAGCTTTAGAATATTGCTATTTTTAATTGTCTTTTCTAATCTTCATCCAAATGTTTATCATCATGGACATAGAGTACAAGATTCTGATCTGGACTGAAACTATCTTAATGGGATTTTTGTTTAAACAAGGTTTTAATATTGGTGCCTTCTGAAATTTCCTGAAATGGCAGGACTAAAGGAATAAAGTTCAAAGCGGAGTAATGGTCTCATTTTGGTTACAACTTTAATATTTTGAGTATTCTAGTTGTTGGTGGAAATATTCCTGGAATAACGATATAGTATGGAAATCAAACAACAGAGGAGGTTGAATGGTAGACACGTGTAAATATGAAGTTTTGCACTTGGAAATCCTCAAAAGGTCTTCTTTGTTGGACCTTCAGAAATCAGTTTACACTCTCTGGAGATAGATAAAAAGACAGCACACTAGGATTCTTGATGCTTTACTAAGAGCAATATGTAGCGGCATTTATGAGAAATATTGGCAGGTAAATGAAACCAAACTAAGACTTTGGATTTAACTTGTGAGTATGTAGTTTTAGGGGAGGCCAGTTTCGGGTTTATTTGCTATGCTTAATTTGATTTTTGACTATTTTATGCTTTTCATTTTATTTTTTGGAGTATCTTTATTTCCTATTTTGACAAAGATAAGTTATGTCCCACAGTGTGGCAGTGACTGTATGGGAAAACAGGCTAAATACTATGGAATCATTTCTAACAGCTTGAAACAATGTAGAAAACAGAAGGCTTTGATTTGGTTAGATTTGAATTTCTGAGAAAAGGCCTAATGATAACCGCAGTTCATAGAAACTATTGTCATGGCATCCGACGGGTTTCTGGACTAACTGGAGCATGATGGGGTCATTCGGAATCGTCATTAGAATGTGGTGCATATTGCCCTATCTTCCTCCAGTAGGTTAAAAAAAAAAATGATCAGTAACGATCTCCTTGCATTAAAATCATGTAGCACATCTTGTATATTAAAGCAATCAGCACAAAGTACAAGTGATGCCGGTTCACACAGACTTTCAAAGACAGCACACATTATTCACACAAAGAGCTCTTCCACATTTCAAGAATACAGCGACAGGAACCGATACGCACAATAGTGGGCTAAACACTTCTTTTGAACTTCACGGAATATGAGGTCAGACTTCAGCTGCTTCCTTGTCTGCTAATGGACAAAACAAAATGGCTCCGGCCTGAGTTTCACATCTCTCTAATCTATGCACGGGAGAGACTAGAGACACCAATTACCAATGAGTCACAGAGCAGACAGAAAACTGTTAGTAAGTCTCGACAATTAGGAATTAAGATGTTTTTAAGAAGTAAATATTCGAGGCAAAGTATGTAAGGAGTGTATCTTAGAAAGCAATATCAAAGTGTTAGAAAAATGGAGTCCCTGTCCAAGTGGCCTGGAGGATTTACCTCTACAATGTTAAATAAATAAATAGCTCTTGGTTTTCTTGAAGTATTGTTTAAAAGTCTTCAAGTCAAATTGTGAGACCTATCTAAACAGAGTGTTGGCCTTTAACACGGAACTTAGTACAGGCTATGTCCACTCACACTGGTGCAATGATGGTCTGAATGTGAAGGCCTGGCAGGGACTTGAAGGGGTCTTAAGGTAGAGCTTCTACCACCCACTGGAGGCAAGAATGCTGGCATCTGTGTCTTACTGGCACCTCAGAAGGATGGTCACCCCTATGAATCTAGACCAAGATGATGGTGTGTGAAGGCTCAGTTGATTTTACTGCATAATTATTCATTTAGAGCATGAAGGATTGCAAAAGATCTAATGAAACTTACTTTTGGTTAGGGCTCAGTTTCTCTTTGTAGCAAAATAAAACAAGCCAACTCTACAGACAAAATGCCCTAGAGAAAGAACAAAAACTAAAGACTGAAACTAATTCCAAAAAAACTAATTATAAAAGCAAAAAAAAAAAAAAAAAAAAGAGGAAGGGAAGAAGGGGTTGGGGGAAGAGAAAAAAAAAGGGAAGGAAAGGAAACCAAAATTATGAGCCACAAAGAGGGCATGCGAAAATATTCCGCAGGACCCAGGCCTTGGTACATCAATAGTAGAGCCAGTCCTGATGGAAGAAAAAATATTTTTGAAGATAAAAGCTTCAAATTGCTTTAGCTATCTTTTAACGAGTACAGACTTGTCAGGGTCCCTTTCAAATTTGGATTTGCCTTGACACTTTGTGTAAAATATTTGTACAAAAATATAAAAGGCATGGCTTGATGTTTAACGTCTGTGTTTTATTGTTCTTGGCACCAGAGAAGCTCATGTTCTATGTTATGTCACTGTACATACTGTAAACAAGACTGCATTAATATTGTTTTATGTTTTTTGTTTCAATGAATCTAGATTTTAAAAAATACATTCACAAACTACCTTATGTTTAAACACAATGATTCCCTTTTATTTCTTAACTGTACCCAAAAATCCCACAATAAAAAAATCATTTAAAGCTGTGTGTTTCAAACTTATCACTTAGAAATAAAAACAAAACAAAAACATAAAAACAAAGATCAATTTGCAACATAATTTAAAGAAGCTTCTGGTTTAAAATACCACAGCAGCAATATAAAGAGCTGGTGGCAATCGCATTTGGGGTTAAGACCTACATGGAGACATTTTGTCCACGTCAGCATCCAATTACAGTAGTTGCTCAATTCAATCCAGAAAGTTATTGCTGAATTTGCTATATGGAATTTGTGAAAATAGTATTGTTCAGCAGCAGAACCACAGCAGTAAAAATGAGAACGGGAGGATTTCATTGGTGTTGAGAGCTAACGGGACCATGAGGAGGACATCTTGGTGATCGCCTGAGGATAATCCTCAATTCCATTCCTGTGTGTTTCCTGCTTACAGTAAATGAAAATGACAACCACCTTTATGGGAGGGGAATAATCATCGAATTCAAAGGCCAGAATATTTGCCCTCCCCCAACCCCCCTTCCCAACAACCAGATTGAAGTGCTTTCATTTTCCTAAAGTGTGTTTCGTTCTCATTAATAGTACATCAGCTGCTCTTATATTTAGGCAAAAATCTATGATCATAATCTGTTTAAAAAGCTGTTTACAGTGTTTGTTCTTTCTAGAAACAAGCCACATTTGTTTCTGTTGTTGACATTTTTAACAAAAATTTCTCAAGAACAATTTGGCCAACTACTGTTTTGTTTTAAAAATATTAACGACACCTGAGATTGCCAGTTGAGCTCTCTATATGTCTCCTGGAGATAACACTGCTGTGATGCACAGTGAAATGAAAACAAACAAAACGAGGTAGGTTAAAACAGGAAGCGCAACACAGATATTGTTTGCAACACCTCGATACCACAGGCGGCCATGCTTGTAGCTTTGGAAAAAAAATCCCAGACAGTCACGTAAAAGTTCAAATCATCTGAGTAAGAGTTTATAGGGACACCAGTCAATCTGAACTAAATACATACATATCTCTGCACAAATGTTGTTTACGTATGTTGGGTAATTTGGAGAAAGGTAAAATGATTAGGGTCTCAGAATTTTGGCCAAAGCCTTGCTTTCAAGTTTTATAAAATCTGAACCAATGATGCCTGCCACATCTTAGGCAGGTTAAGTAGTCTAGTCCCTTCTCTCACCAACCCAGAGAGAACACAGGCAGCTCAGAAACTTTTATTATTATTATTATTTCAGTCACAGTTTTCATCTTGAGAAAGTGGCACCCTCAGGAGAAAGCTGGGTATGACCAGAGCATGGATGTTACCCACTCCCCAACTGCCAGAAAGAACTCCACAAAGGCTCAGTCCTAATGAAGTCCCAACTGAGTGACCTCTTAGCTGGGAGGCTTTGTGCATTTAAAAAAATTGTGAGTATATATATATTCTATATATAGTGATTTTCTTTTTAGTTTGTTTTCCAGAAGCTCTTTCTGTCTGACCCCATCAGTCATCCCAACTTTTGCCCTGATCTGTTGCATAATAGCTGAGGGAAAGTTGTGTTATGGATTCCCCCAGTCACTAGAGAGAACTCAACTCACTGGCACTACTATCCCATTCAACACACACCATTCTGTCCAGGGCCATATAAAAATAGGGCCTGTCAGACTCACAAAAATGGTAGTTGATTTTATTAGTCTAAGGCTAGTAGTTTAGCCATTTAAAATCTATTTCCCAAAAGAGGGGAAAACTAGTATTTTTCTTCTCTTTTAAAAATTCATTAGCCAGTTGCTATCAAAAAGCAACCACTTGGGTTGGTAAAGGCAAAAGAGTTCTAAAATTACCCCACTATGCAGTTATGGCCTTCAGTGTAAGGAGATAAGGTACATTTATTGTGCTGTCTCTCACCATATGAGATTGGAAATTTTACAACACATCATATACTTAAAGCTAGCAGGCAGACAGAATTAAAAACAGTTCATTTTCTCAGTATGCATTCTCTCCCCATTCTTACAAAGTAAGGGGATAAAGAAAAAAAAGGTGGAAAAAACTAACAACCAAAACTCAAAATCCACCAGAACACAGCTTGATTATAAGAGCACACAATATTTGTTTCTATCCCTAACTCTGAAGGGCACATGGTCCATCTTTGTCCGCAGACAATGCAGCATTCTTGGGGATCTCCTGGGAATTCCTGCCACCTTTTTCTCTCCTTCTCAACCAGGCTGCAACATGGAAAGATGGACTTTATTGGGACGGGTAGAGGGAGAGGAAAAGGGGGAAGTGGTATGTTCAACCAAGCCTTCTGATTCTGCCTCTAGACCGGCATAAGTCCACATGAGTTAGGTTCTTTTAAATTAGAAATAACGCCATGAAGATAAGTGCCAAGTGCTCTTCTGTTACCAGTTCATCATGGAATTTCTGTTGAGGGTCATGAAAAACACTTGGCTACTTCCTCCAGATCGCACGGATGCAAAAAATACCTGTTTGAAATTAAAAAAAAGTTAGTTCAACTGCATGGATTCGCTCCCTCTTTTCTTCAAACGTCCATCCATTTTCTCTCACATGTCCTATCCCTGCCATGTGTCAGTTTTTAAGACTCAGTGACTGGTGTTTAGAAAGTGCCTTTGGTACAGTGCATCCTCTGTAAACACTCTTGCCTTTGGACTCTGACTGATATTAGTACTGGTCATGGTACTGGCTTCAGGGACATAGAAAGAGCAATATCTGTATTTGCAACAAGCTTTTGGTGCTCACATTTAAAGGGAGTTTGTGCTGGGATAACCTGCTGGATTTCCACATAGGACAGCCCTTTATTCTGTTCTGAAAAGCCACAGAGGCTCCCTTCTCTTGCCCAATGACAGAAGGCAGATTTGGGGACTGAAGAGAATCTTTCCAATTCCCCAAATCAAGGCAGAAAGTTTGGACTGACTATTGAACTTCAGTTCCCAGTTTTTTAGATTTAAAAAATTTTAAAATCTTCTGTAGGTCAGCTAGGGTAATGCCTGTTCACTTTGGCATTTCAAGAGTTAACGCTTGGTTTCTCTGCTGACATCTCCTAGGTCAAATGAGATAACCACGTTGATAAATAGAACCACAGTCCATTAAGGCCGGGTCTGTTCAGTCATTTTATTAAAAAAAAAAAAAATTAGAGAAGTGAGCAAAATTTGGGTTGCTGCTTGCTTGAGTGGAATGTAAATGAACCACAGCCTTTGGAAAACAATATTCCAAGCTGTGGCCTAGCCCTTCAGTCAGCCAACACCAAACTTTGGTCCAAGGCATTTTTGTCACGAGTATGAAGTCTCTGCTACTTCACTTCCACAACTTCCTCAGAAGAAGGCTAAATCTCCCAATAACAACTTCTTAGGAAGTTATTTGGAAATGCTGATCATTCAGCTAATGCTACATATGTAAGTTAAGCTACTATTAGGGCCAATGAATCAAAATGGATATGCACAGAAGACCCATGTAAAACCACAATGAGGGAAAGAAAGGGCTGCTGTTAGCTCCACCCTGGGCTCTAAAACTCAGGACCTGGATATGCTGCAATCTCAGCTAGCTTGTGAGCTGTGGGTCTGGTTTGGAAGGGGCCTGTTGGGTGAGTTTTCCATAGACTGGAGGAATGGGTGGGGATCCCATGCTTAGATCACTCCTATTCTTGTGATCCTCAGAGAGTAGGTGGGGGCTGGAGTTTTATCTGGGATCAGGTCTGTTCTGGGTGCTATGGTAAGGCCACCCACAGCTACTGTCCATGCAATCCACACCAGGTCCGAGTAGTTGGCTAGGGCTGAATCTAGTTTGGACCCGTATCCCCAAGGCTGGAGTAAGACCTGCTGGGGTCCCAGCCTCTGGGGGACCGGGGTGAGCAAAGCCTGATATGACTGACTGTTCAATGCATCACACTCTTCCTATGGGTGCTTATGTGTGATGCTTTGGAGACAGCATTTTTAATTGGTCATAGTGACAAAGGATGAATTCACAAGTGCAGTACAGCTTAGCTATGTAAAGCTCTGGGTTAGTTTACAGGGAAGGCAGGGGAGAAGCAACACTGCTACAGAATACCCTCCTGAGGTGACTGGTCATGCCAGATGGACACCGCCAATCTCACTGGAAAACAGTCCCCCTATGACACTTCAGAAGAAACATGGCTGGAATGACACAGGACATGGCACTAGTTGAGTTTGTGATTGTACATTCCTTAAGGAATGGGTGACATGGTTAGAAAGTTGATTTTTCTACGTGTCAAGCGTTTCGCATTTAAAGGTGAGTATAGTATGATGGGTTAGGTCTAGATAGTGACTTTGTGAAGTCTAAAAGTGGAAGTATAAAGTTGACCCACTGTGAGATGATTCATGATGGACCAACTCAGTTCTAAGTGCTCAGGAGAATTTGGGGTGTCTGTTGAGTCATCATAAATTAGCCTACAGGCCACAAAAGTTACTAAGTGTACAAGAAATGTTTAAGTGCTTTTAAAGTGTCTTTTTTGGATATGTGCATAATACATATTTGAGTGTTCATATGAATCAAACCAAATAATGCCATTGCAAAGAGAATATTGATTGCTTAACACAGATGTGACTCAAATCAGTATAAAGGAAAATGAAGGTTTCACAGGTACCTGGTGGTCTCTTAAAATGCAAACACTAATGCAAATGTTGAAACGGATTTACCTTATCATTTCTTTCACATAGAAACTTTAACCTTTGAGCTCGCTTATGCATAAATACTCCATCCAAATGTCCTGTTTCCACTGACCGGATCTCAATAGCTTTCTCGCCCCAGCCCATTATCTGATTGGAATGAATGTAGGCTGTCAAAAGGAATTTCCAAAACTGCATTAAAAACATTAGATGGGCAATAACTCACAGCATCTGTTCACATCTTAACCACAAAAATGACAAACGACTTGAGATAAACAGACAAAGCAAGTCTTACAAGTGTTATTCACAGACTTTTTTTTTTTTTTGTGGAATCAAATGGTTGTTTCACATTTCTTGATTTTCGTTTCATTTGGGGGGTGTAACTGCTGAAGGAGATAAGGAATGGTTAACCTACCCACAGACGTGGGCATTTCTCCCCATTGGAGCACCACATCCTTAGTTATCCGGCCATAGGTGTTCACATACACCCCCTCATCCTCATAGCAAACAAGCATTTCCATTCCATCTGTTTTAGGCAAGATGACAATGGCATGAGGAGTGATATTGCCCTGAATCTAGAAAATAAAGAAAGGCCAGGTATTATTCTTTTTTAAAAAAGACAACCATCGGTTGACTATTCAGTCTAAGAACTTCAAGAAAGCATTTTCTGTGTATGTGCTTTTGTTTTTCATTTATGTTCTAGAAACTGATATTTTGCTTTGCATAATCTAACAGCTGACCTGTCCCATATCAGCTCTACATCCAGAATCCAGTTTACCTGTTTCTAACAAAACAACAATTACAACTATGAAGCACTGATAGGTCACCACTAAGTCTTTTTATGCCCGTAATTCTAGCTCTCCAAGTATCTTACTGTACAGGTGAGGAAATTACATCTCAGAGGGATTAAGTAATTTGACTGTACTGAACTAGTATTTGGTGTTAGAACTGAGGATGTGTCTTTCAGATATTGAAAATCATGTTTTTCATTAGAACAAATTACTCTACTTCTCTCAAAGATGAGGAGAATGCAAAACTACTGAATCTGATGCAGATAACCTGAGGGACTGGAAAGAATTCTAACCAAATACAACTATGGGAATATAGCACAGACTATATAGCTGTATGCCTAAATGCCAGAATAACCTCCACAGTAATGACTTACTTAGAAAAAAATTAATATTACCACTACTGATTAATAAATAAAATTATACTATGGAATAAGTGGCTAAATTGTTTTAAGAAAAATGATGTGGTATTGCAAAGATATCCTGAATGAGAATGTCATGCTAAGAGCTGGAGCTGAATCCCACGTGCACACACACATGAGTGTGACAAGCTATAATGCAGCAATGAATGTCAACTGTGTGTGCAAGTGCATGTGTGTAAAGTATTGAAACAACTTTTTCAATTGTCATGCTTCTTAATAAAGACTTTAAGTTCTCAAAGTAACAATAAGCAACAGATTAGGCCTCATACTTTCCTGACAGGTGAGTTCTACTCTATGTTAACCTTGGGCCTGCAAATAACAATTTACACTGCACCAACGCCACTAGACAAATCCATGTGCAGCTTTGAAAGTCATGTTTTAGAGCTGTGTCTATGAACTAATACCTGTACTATGATTTGTAGGCCCTTGTTTAGATGTGTTCCCTCACCCAATGCTGATGATAACCCTATGGGACTAGTCTTTTTCTTCTAATTTTACAGTGAGAAAGCTGAGGGCTGAACAGGCTACCTGATGTGTCCAAGACTGTAAAGAGAAAATGTGCAAGAATCAGACCATGAGCTCCACTGACTCCATGGCACAACACTGTCCTCATGTTGGAGAATTGAATAAAAACAACAAGAAAAGGACAAGTGGCCTTCTTCTACATAAAAGGAATCAACTTCCATGGGTCTCCCTGGTGGTGAAGGGGTTAAAGTCTCAGTGCTATCAGGCTGTCCACAGCCACTGCAGCATGAGTTCGATCCTTGGCCAGGGAGGTGACCCACATGACACAGCAGACCTTCCTGTCTCACCCGCTGCTCCCCTCAGCAGTGTATTTCAGTTCTGCTCCCCACTCTGTTTCTGGTGAACCCTGTCACCTCTCTACACCTCTGGCCTACACCCAGCTTTTGTATGCATAAATTAATAAAAATAAATCTTAAAAAAAAACCCAAAACGAATCAACCTCCCTTCAAAAATTAAAATTAGGAACTCATCTATTAAACTCTAACTTACAAAATATTGATGCCCTTAAAGGAAAAACAAATGTACTTTAAAGGTCAAAGAGACATATTGAGCAAATGGCAAGTAATTGCCATTATGTATTACTCAGGCCTAACCAATCATAACAATAGTTATATTTATACCTTCTGTCTATTAAAAAGCATGATATCTACTTAGGAAAGGTCAAAAATAATTTACTTTACTAAATAGTCAAAGTTAGCATGACTTGTATAAAAGCAAATTTCTTTATACTTGCAGGTTGTTATAAAGAGGATATTGACAGTCTATTTCCAGGAACTTACATGAGATGGTATGTAGATATCATAAGAGTTTCCTGAATCAACATCAATTACATGGAAACCAGTGTGTGAACCAAAAATAACCTTTAATCTTTGCCCTTCTTCTACAGTGAGATCAACAAGCAGAGGCTTGTGCTGGAGATCTGCAAAAGACTTTAAAAATCACACCATGAGTATCCACATCATTCACAACACTTACCTTGGTAATTTTGTCTGTTAGCTATTGCTTAGTAGAAGTTAACATCTAACTTTCTTGACCAGAAAAGTTAGAAACTTTTCCTAATTATTTTAAGCATATTCATTTTCTGGGTCTAGGAAGAAGGTTCTAGTACCCCATTTGCACCCCTTTCTCCATTCCCTGTCCTCCAGGGCAGAGAAATTGTTTTATAGTTGTCAATTTTGATGGTGTCATCATAAATTTAAAAAACAGTGCCTGGATACTCCTGTCCAGCCACTCCTCTGAGTCCACATGTGAGACCCAGGTCTCTGTGCTTTCTGAGACACTTGACTTTGGGGGTGGGGACAGTTGGGTCAGCTCTGTACTTAGCTTGCTTAGGATTCAAGGGTAAGCTCTGCATCTGATTTCCTTCAAAGAGAGAATGGATGTCATATTGGCAATTTCTCTAAAGAAATTTCACTTTCTCTGAGACTTGGGTTTGGGTGACAGAGACAATAGGAGAAGACGCAACATCACATGACTCATGACTTGGAACATCACATGACTCATGACTTGTGTTAGCTAGTTGGGTTTACCTAGAAACATGCCTACAGCCAAGTTTATCAAGGTTCAGTGTGTTTGAATCCAGAAATTGAATCATAAATAGCAGTCAAGTATTCCTGTTTTCTGATGCCATTGTAATCAATTATATTCTACCTTTATTGGGCCTTGAAGTCTATGCCACTGCTGCCTAAAAGACCTTTTTCATCTTTTGCTAACATCATTTCTATAATGTGGGGGTTCTGGTTTCAAGGTCTTGTCCCAACGGAGGGCTCAACCCTGTCTGCTCCAGTATTTCCTGTTCAGGCATGGTCTTTGCTTTTTCCCATTTGCAGGCTAAGTATGATCTACTGAACAAAGAATTTTGCACTCAGTTTGCATTTGGCGAGTAAACCAATGGCTGTAACTTCAGAACTAGAATGGGAGTGGGATTTTGATTGAAAAGCCTTTTTGGCAAGGGATTTTGGCAGAGTAAGCACTGTCACTTTAGCTATTAGGAGGTATCCCTTTAGTGCTATTACTGGCCTAATGAATTCCAAAACTTTCCATAAAAGTGGGATTATGGAGGGGAGCCCATTTCCACAGTTTAGTCCATCCTCCTGAAGACAAAACACATCACAAATGTGATGAGGTCCTTTCACTAGGGGAAGAAGACAGAAATGGAGTGTTTCAGGACTGAAGAGTGGCTCATAATATTTCCAGGACAGTTTTACCATTACATGACATATCTGGCAAGGAAGAATCTATAAACAATTAAAGGGAGATAACGGTCACAAAAGTGGGGATAAATGGCAATCAAAATGGAAGAATAGAGAGAAAGTAGGCCAATTCTCTATGTGATTACATTCAGTAGATATTTTACAAAAGTCAATAGTATTGGGGAGATTTGAGTACTCTGAATTTTACAGGCTTTATCCCAAAAGGTTTCTGAGGATCTCAGAATGTAGACACAAAGTTCAACCTTGAGATTCAGGGATGTTGTTGGCTTGTCTTCTTCAGAAGCATCACAGTGGCTTTATAATTTCACTGCCTAATGTCACAATGAATGCTTAGCCCCGTGACTGTTCCAGACTGAATGCTACTTGGACATGATTATTCTTAGACCTGAAATGGGTCTTGTGTCTGCTAGGCTGTCTCATAAATTTTAATTTGGCTGATTTTATAGAATTTATTAATGTTTAGATTTTATTTTTGGAATACTAATCCAAGACTTCCTATCCTTTTAAAAAGTTTATTATGAACAAGGAAACTGGTTTATGCAGTAGACCACTTTGTTAACTGGTGAAACCTAAAATTAAAAAAAAACAAACAAAAACCCTTTTTAGGTTTACCTGCCCGCTTACCTTAAATGCCATGAATTTATGATATGGTTTAGGAGCCCACGCATATATCTCCACAGCGTTCTTTAAGGCAATCACCAAGAATTTGATCCTTTCATATTTAACTATAACAGAAAGATTATGAATTAAAAAAGCACATCAATATATTCAAGTTTTTGTACATAAGAGTGTTCAGGCCACAATTAATGCATGTATATGAATTCATCCTTGAGGGTGATGCTCTCGGTGGGGGCCTTTTTCAAAAATACAGATTCAATTTCCTTTATTGTGGTTTTTCTGGAGAATACGTGAGGCATTTGACTTTCAGTTTAAGGCTCTTTCAGTTAAAGATGGAACTGCTCAGGACAGTCTTTAGTCACTAGGGTTACATATAAATGAGTCATTGTAGTAAGAACTTGCATCCCTTCGTGTTTCCTTGCTTGCTTTTTTTTTTTAAATTAATTTATGTATGCATACAGAACTGGGGTACAGGCCAGAAGCACATGGGCAGTGAGAGGATTCACCAGAGACAGAATGGAGAGCAGAACAGGCAGATAGAGGAAATACACTGCTGAGGGGGTCAGGAGAGATCTGCTGTGCCACGTGGATCACCTCTGGGGCAGGGATCAACTAGCACTTAAGTGGTTGTGGCTCTCTTGCAGTGCTGTGTCCTAACCCGTTGTGCCACCAGGGAGGGCTGGCCCCCTTGCCTGCTTTTTATGTTCACTCACATCCAAGTAGCTGAAAGCTAGTTTAGGAAGTTGGAAAGAAAGTGAGCCAAAGAGCAGAGACATAAAGGCGTTATTTGTTCATGATTCTAATTTGAATTCCAAGTGTTAGGAATCTGTAAGGAATAAGTAACCTATAAAAGAAACTGCAGAGACATTCCTTTCTCTTTCTGCTACCTGAGGCTGTTGAGAGGCCGCTGTGTATGAACCAGGAAGTGGGTCCCCACCAAATGCCCAACCTATCGGACACTTGACCTTAATTGCACAGCTCAGAACTGTGAGAAATACGTTCTTGTTGTTGGCAAGCCACCCGGCCCATGCTATTCTGTTATAGTGGCCCCATCAGGCCAAGGCAGAGCACGAGCCATCATTTTCTTTACAAAATATCTGGACAAGCAAGATATTCTGTATGCTAAGGAAATTGGACAGCCCAGGATAACTGCCTAAATTCCCCTCTCTGAGCTCTTTCCCTTTGTTTGTACATTGCCTTCACTACATTTGCAACTGGTTCTTTGGCAATTTATTCCCATATTTCTAAATAACATATTTACAATGTTATCACTTTAATTTTTTCAGTGTTTGATTTTATTGACTGGCTTTGTAGAAAGGAAAGGATTTAGTCTCTTATAACCAACTCATTTCTCTAGTTCTCTAATATATTTCTTCCTTCCCCATACCCCTAGTATTTTTAATATTTGGTTAAGTCAACATCCTGTGTTCAAATTATTATGTTCACTGATGAGGCACATAGTATACGATAATTACAACTCCTTTTTTGTTTTCCTTTATTTTTCTCACTCCCTAATTTTTCTGTTACCTATTTCTAAATACATGTGAACTTCCTGCTAGCCTGTCTCTGGCTCTCTCAAAGAGATAGAAATGAGAAAGAGAGAGATCCTGGCTAATACAGGTGGGTTATAATGTAATAGGTGAATATATTTTCTACCTGAAGAGTTTTGAAGGCTAAACTTACTCCACTGTCTTTTAATCTTCCAGAATTGCTACTAAGTCCCAGATCACCTAATTCTAGGTCTATTATGTATGAACAATTTATTTATTTACATATAATCTGGAAACATTAAGGATTTCTCATTTTCTTGCCATTGCAATTTCATGCTGATATGATTACTTGGCTAATATTTTAAATTTGGATTTCAATATCTCAGCTTTAAAAAATTTCCTTATATTCTTTGATACTTTCTCTCTGCTATTTTTTATTTTCTCTTTTTCCTAAAACTCATAATACTTAGATTTTGAACCACTGAGACTGATTTTTCATTTTCAGTACCTTTTGCTCTTCTCTCTCTTTATTTTTGTTCTACTTTTATAGATTAAAAAAAAAATCTATATGTTGCCACATTTCTATATTTTTTACTCCTGCCAGGATCTTTTAGCTGCCCATGTCTACCTCCCACCCGGGCTTCTGAATGACCTCCTCCTAACTCTGTTCCAGTCCCCCCCTTTAAAAAAGTCCTATTTTTTAATCTCTCAGACGTTCTGATCTCTCATCTTCTGAATGACCTCCTCCTAACTCTGTTCCAGTCCCCCCCTTTAAAAAAGTCCTATTTTTTAATCTCTCAGACGTTCTAATCTCTCATAAGTCATTATAATTGCATTTGAGTCCCCCCCCTTAACAAAAGTCCTATCTTTTAATCTCTCAGACATTGTTCTAATCTCTCATAAGTCATTATAATTGCATTTGAGTCCCCCCCCCCCTTACACACACCTCCCTTCATTACCTTATTTCCTCTAAAGTCTTCTTTCTTTGCTCCCATCAGGGGATTTCCCTACTGCCTGGTATAGATAGGCTAATCCACCACTGGCTTTAACTATAGGGTAGGCATTGGAGACACGTTTTCTCAGCACTAAAATGTTAGTATCTGAACATCTTTTCTTTCTGGCTATTTAATTTCTCCTAAGACAAGTCTTCTGCTTGGGTATGAACATGCTGTGGGGAGGAAGGGTGTGGGTGTACTGTGCATGCATGTGACCCACGGACTGCACAAGCTCAGTCTTCCCCACCATGTGTTAGGCTGTCAGCCTTGTATCTTCTGCTGAGTGGAGGAGGATTAAGGTTTTATTGCTCAGCAGGGGAACTGGTTCTGCAGGATTTGCTGCTAGCAAGCTTTTCCTGTTCTTGGAAGAGCCTTTGGAGATGCTGTCCAGTCACTGGATTGACTCTGATGACTTTCCTGACTGCAGAGTTTGAATGCAGCATTCTCTGCTCAGCTAAGTCAGTTCTAGTTATTCAATTACTCTTGTTCAATTTTGTTTACATCTCTTTTGCTAACTTCCCTTTTCTTGGTCCCTTTTTCCTTGTGGGCTTATGGCATTTTCCATTCTTATTGTCATTTTAAGGGAACTTTGGGAGGGAGTGGCTATAAATATTCAAATTGGAGCCTAGGACTTTCTTCTGAATGAATGCACTCTTGATGCACTTTATCAACCTTTTTTGAAAATGTACTTACTAAAGTGATATATTTAAGGTTTTAACATCTTAAACGGATTCCAAATATATTGTTGGGGGGGAAGGATGCCCTGAGCACACTCCACAAATTCAGGTTTAATGGACTTCACCTCCACTCTAGATCAAAGTATCCAATACACCAAGAACTACATTTCCCATAATGTGGTCATCACCAAAGGGAGACTGCTGGGAACTAGGGGTGGAATTAAGCAGCCAGGTTTGGTGTTTAACCCATGTGGGTCTGGGGGGGGGTGTTGCCTCACTTTTTGTTAGCTTTCAGCATGATGTTGTGTTATTGGGGATCCAGCTCAGTGGAACTGGTAGGATGCTTTCACCAACTATCTCCCTCTCCCTCTCTTTTTCCATGAGGTATTCATTTTTAAATTCTCCCTTCTTTTGTAAATAAACCCTTTATTGACCTCTGTGTGTGTACCTGCAGTAAGTTTTTATTATAAGTCCCTTTTAAGTGTGTGGGTGATGACCAACAGTCAGGCAACCCACTTCATATCAGGGTTGCCCTGTAATAATTACCAGGGTTGCCCTCTAACAATGTCATCGGCATCTGATAAATATTGAATTAAACAGATATCCAATGACAGTCGAATTGAATGAACTTAACTGAATACTTCTGAGTAAGCAATTCTGTCCCTTAACACTTACCAACTTTGTAATGTATACAGCCTTCCAAGTCCCCAACAGTGATCCAGCCTTGCTTCTTTTCTACTTCTGGGTCATTGTGAAGTATTCTGTTTCTTAGCCATGAAAGATAGTAAACACGTAGCTTGTTCTTCTTTCCTGTGGAAAGAATAGAGTTTTAACTTCAAGCCCTTATGATAGCTTTTACCTCAATCTTTCCCCATCACTATTTTATTTATATACCTTAATATATAACTCTCTGTGTTCATAAAAGTATAATAGCCAGTAACCTCAGCATCATCAGTGTTGTCTGTTGGGACTCATGGTTAAAGAGTTTCAAATATTTCAGACAACAATTTTCTGATTTCAAGTGATTTCATATCTGAGGAAGCTGTTCTTATTCTCTCTTCCTAATGGAAGGGCAGTGTCTGTTAATCTCAGCTAAGATGTAATTCTGTGATGGAATGAGTTCTAGAACATTCTAGATCTAATTAGATGATGATGTAGTGTTGTTGAAAGTTGTATATTTTAGTGTACTTATGCGTGACTGCTTTTCTTTCACTTTATAATTTATTTGCCTATATTGATGAGAACCTTTTATTTTTCTCCCATATTACTTTAAAGATGACAAAGAAAAGAAATGTTAAAGGAGACTAGTGTCTCCTTTAAAGAGAAGCGAGTTCAACAAAGGAAATCTAGGCTCAGAAAATAACACTGGACATGTTCATTATGCTGACTTCACCAAAAGGACCAGCCAACAATATAGAGAGGAGAAAAAAAACGTGAACTTGGAAATACTTAAAAAAAAAAAACAAAACTCCCATGGTGAAGTAGTCATGCAGGAAAGAATTCTTTGTGCTATTAAGTATCTTAATAATATTAAAGAGTATACAAGGAACAAATATAAGTATAATAATGAGATTATATGAGTAGGAAATAAGAAAATGTCCTTTGGGGTGGCTCCTTCCAAAGGATCAGAAATGGAGGCCTGTGGGTACCTATTTTCCTTTGATTTATCTGAGACATCAACAGATGTTTTGTCTTTTCCAGGTATGACATGTACCCAAAGAAGAAGAGAATTCACTGAAGCATGTCAGGCTGGATTTCACAGGTGAGTGCACTGCTGTCTTAAATTTGGGAAGTTGTTGTGCAGTTACTGCTTCTTTTGTAACCCAAAGTCTAAAACATGCATGAACTGCAATAGCTGGGGAGGGCAAGTGGCCAGTGCCACCTTTATGCCAACACAAACCTGAGGGCAGTTCATGAATCCTTTGCTCCTATTTTTATTTTCTTTGTAAGAAGAAATGGTAACCCTTAGGAATGGGGATGTAACACTCACAATATAGGTACAGGCCTACACATGAGTTTTCTGATGTCATTTCCATTTTGGGTAGGTGACTGGCAGATGTATGGTCTTTGAATTTCATTTGACAGTGTAGACATGAAGAAAACAATGAAGCAGAATAACTTCAACACACTGGCTTAAATACAAATCACAATACAAGAGGAATTTTCTGGGCTAAGACATATTTGGGAAGAATAAGAAGAGATTAAACGCTGAGCATTATGTGGAAAGGTAATAGAAAGAGGAAGTTACTGCATCAAGGATAGACGTATCCTCGGAATCAAAGTACTGCAGTAGAGTTAACTTCATTCAAGGTTCAACCCTGAAGCCTTGTATTGTCTGCTGTGAAGCAACGTCTGAAAGCAGAACAGTGGTCTCAAACCTGCCTGCACATGACCTGCCCCAGGCTCTAAAGCTGCCAGGCCCCAACCCCAGAATTCCTGACCCACTGTCTGGCCTCTTGGGGGAGTCTTCTACATAGCAGAACAGCTGGTTTCATTTTGGATGGAAGGGGCTGGAGAAGCGGGTGTTATTTATTAAACTTCTTCAAACACCATCAGGAAGAATTCCCCTTCAATAAACATAGAATACTTCAGGTGATGGTTTTAACTTGCCAGTAATAAGCACTACATTTTTCTTTCCCTCTCTCTCTTTTTATTAACAGCCCTTTTTGGGAGCCAGAAGCTGCAGGATATAGAAAGGCTTCTTATATTTGAGTCCCCTTGCAGACATAATTGCCCCGTGTACTGACTGTACTTGTGAAAATGTCAGTTCTCATGAGAAAAGAAAGCAGGATTTCCTGTTCTCAGATTTCCCATTCACAGGATTCCCATTCTCAGAAGCTTACATTTTGATGCTCTCCACCAGAGAGTGGATGGCAGTGACTGGGGTGCAGAGTCCTTGTTAAGGTCCTTGTTGAGCCCTGGCAGAGGTTACAGCCTTTGTGCTTTGTGTCTACCTGGTTCTGATTTCATGCAGAGTTGACAGTCTTTCCTTTTGAGGTCAGAATTTCCAGAATTACAAAATCTGAATGATCTCACTCTGGTCATACGGCTGCAATTTATTATGTCATTCTTTCACTGGGAAGGACAGGGCTGACTGTTTCTTCAGAAAATGGGTGACTGCCTTTTGCACCTATGCAAATGTGGCGACTCAGTCACCTAGTAACATACCTGATATTGTCACAAGGACGTTCAGTCCCTCTAGCACATCCATCTGCTGAAATCGCCTCCGATTGATCAGATTATAGACTTTGCCTTGCCCACTTCTGTCCAAAAGCATCAGGCCATTTTCCGTTCCCACCAGCAGGTTGACACCTGAGAATTTAAGACACACCCAAGACTGACTTTCCTGGGCTTTAATCTTCTGCATCTGGGGTTTCTGTTAAATCCAAGCAACTGTGCCTTGAAAATATAAATGAGGGGGTCCTCTCGCAGGGAGCACAGAAGTAGAAGCTTTGACATGGTAATTAAATCACTGTCCCTCTGGTAATGTAATTATTTTCTTTTATAAAGTGGAAGCAGTTTTCATTACATCTAGCCATTTGTTACCTAGTAGAGAGAGTCCGTCTCGTAGGAGCCAAAGGCACAAATGTGACACCAGCACAATTAGCCCTTATTCTCACCTTTTCTGGCTCTCTCTGAAATCCCCAAGATTCACTCCGACGCCAATTTATGCCATGTTTTCTATTCTACTCACTTTCAACATACGAGAGGGCCTGTCTCTATACACTACTAGAAGGAAAGCCTTGCTTCTTACTCACACAAAGATTGCACAAGGAGACTGCTCTCTTTCAGGGAAATGATAAATCAATTTGAGAAAAAGTGTCAGGAGCCTGAGGCTAAAGGATATACTGACTAGAAGGGACTTCTCAGGCATCTATCTAGTCAGCTTGCTGCTCAGACCATCATCCTGTAACAAAAGCTCTGGCTGGTAAGTGCTCTTGTCTGAATAGCTATAATCTTAAGGATTCAGCCCTAGCAGATTATACCTTTCAAGCCTCCAAAACATATACACATTGAGAAGTCTACTGTGTCATGGGTTATATTCATAAACAGGTAACTTTCTAGCTGCTCTCCTCTTGCTTGTGGTACATCTATCTTTGGAGTAAGTGAATGTTTGCTCTTTTGAGGCATATAATTCAATGTTAAACATGGCTACCTCGTTCTCCAACTGCCTCGTCTGTGGAGGACACAGCCCGACACTCCTCCATATCACATCTCCCATGGGAATGATTTCTGGGCTTCATGTTTTCCGCAGCCCAACATCACAAATGCTTTTGGCCCTATCACATGGTGGCACCCCAGACTTGGCCTAGCATTTTGGGTATAGCTGTTCATAGTGATACAGGACCCCTTAAGCTGGATCCCCTCCATTTTGTAACCCCTCCAATCTAAGAATTTGGACTAAACAGAATTACACTCTATCTTTTCTTTCTTTTCCTTGTACCCCTGCCTTGTAATTAACCTTTAACTTGCAACTAATACATTTATCTTTAACAGCATTTTTTAGGAACTTGGAAAATTGATTATGTTACATCTCTAACAAAGTTCTCTGTGTTCCTTTGAGGTCAATAGCAAAATTAAAATCAAACATGTGCCTATTGTTACCAGCTGGTAACCCTGGGAAACCCTCTCTGCAGAGAAAGACAGACACCTTGAGCTGTGGCTCTACACTGCTCTGCAGCTCCTTGGACTGAACACACAAAAGCAAAGCAGAAAGAAGAAAAGATATTTTTAATAAAACACCCAAAATATACATCCTCTTCTGGGCAAGTGACCAGACATTTAATGTTGGTCCAAAGTGGGGCCCCTGAGGCTGAAAGTTTTCCCTAAGTCCCTGAGTACCTCCTCTATTGATGAGGAGGCATCAGAAAGGAGTTCTGAAACAGAACCCAGAATGCTGGGGTAAAAAGATAACACATCACGATAACAGCAGTGTCTGTCTCACCATGCACCCCTTTGTGTGCATGGATGGCTGGATACTTTTAGAGCATGCAACTTTTCAGGTTCCTGGGTACCTCTCAGTCATACAACTATCATTGCCTCATTTCACACCAGAAAAACAATTCCATATATTTTAGTGAGTCATTCCCCATGTGTGTCTCACCATGTATCTCTTCTAAGTGTCTCCAAATGTCTCTCTTTCCATGTCTCCCTCCAGCTGTACCAGGGTGCAAGTAGGCCATAGAAGCAAGAGCTTTCTCTTTCCTAGCCCACTTGCCTCCCTCACTATATATAGCTCCACCTGGCTGCTTACCTGCCCCCTAGTTCTCAATAGCTATCCAAGACAGCTGCATGGAAGTGGGGTAGGGAACATGACATCTCCCCTAACAATCCCTCCTTTCACCCCTCCCCCCACCATTTCTATGGTGACAAAGATCTGAGGGTACCTGGTATCATTACTATCTTACTGAATGTCATGAGGATGACAGAGAACATTACATGGGCCTGGGCATATTATAGGTGTTAGGTTATAGCTAGTTCTGTTGTTGGCTTAAGCCCATCACAGTTACTTGGCAAGGTCTTTCTAAATCTGAGAAGCTATCTTGGGTGCTAGAATACCACTTCTTTCTTCACAGAATTATTCTGTAAAATTACTCTTGATTGCTCCGAGGCCAACATCAAAGCCAGGTCTCCAACACCCATGATTCAACCAGTGTTCTTTTAAAATTTGAGGATCTGTTTACCAAGGGTGGCAAAAGTATCACTTACCCCACAGAGCTGCACAAAGTATTTCTGAGTTGAATCGTTTCTTGTATTTTCTGATTTCTGGTGTATCGCTATGTGGCCGAATGTTGGTTGGGTTTACATTTACCACTGAAATCTTTCTTGCTTCATTGAGTTTGGCCTGCTCTTGCCTAAGAAGTTCGCTAGTAAACAGAGCTTTGAGAAAGAGAATCAGAGAAATCAATGGCATCTTGAAAATAACCACTGACACTATGGCGAAGAGGCTTCAAAAACATATGGCTTCGTTTAGTGTGCATCATAGTAAAGGCAAAGACACTCTGAAACTATGTATATTTTATACATTTTTTAGTAGACTAAAGTATAAGTCACTCACAGAAGCAGTATTTTTATCCATTAGTAAAACATAGGCACTACATGGATGATTGAGAGCATTGGTATTAATATCAGAAGTTAAATATGCCATCTTTTGTAATATATGCAGGGGAGATTTACTTTTTGAAATTCCACAGAGTTATGACAAAAATTGGCCTAAGCTGACTCTGATAATTAGTGAGTTGCAGAAGTTCTAGAAAGCAAAACTCTCCTCAAAATCAACCAGACCTTTGCAGTGGAAAACACACAGCCAGAATGCAATGTAACTCAAGACACACTTATTAAGTGTCTACTGCGTGCACAGCATTGTACCCAGAAATTGATTTTGAGAAATATGCAGTAAGTTGGGAGGTCTCTGAGGAATAGGTTTTCCCAGAGTTCCTGGATACTTCTGGGTTCCTACCAGAAGCAAAACAGAAGAGATGAAAAACAATGACAAGAAAGAATTTTGTTTTATGGATCCAATAATAATAACAATGATGATGATGATGATGATGATCATAAAACAATCTCTTCCCTTTTTGACAGGGCCGCCTTTAATTACACTGAGCTAATGATGTTTTTTTTCATTATGAAACCACATCAGAAAGGAACACCACATTGTTTTTAAAACCTTGGGGTCTTCTGGCTTACCCGTAGCCGATGATTCTTCATCCTCTTCATCTTCATCAGTGGGAGAGGTCTGGTATACTCTGGGATCCACAAAAGGGGTGAAGGAGGCCTTAGTACTGCTCCCCATGCCATACTGGTAAAAAAGCAAGAAGATTAAGAAGAGCACATAAACACTTCATGAATAAAAAAAGGCACAAATATTTACTGTGAATTGTAAAATGATTATAGACTCTTTAATCCATCCAGCTGTTCACACTCCAACTCCCTAGCTGAAGTGTGTGCCTTTCTATCCAGTTCCTCCTGGTATTTGCAAAGTTTCATTAATTATCGTTCTGTAAGAGTTGCAGAGAGAAAATTACATTTCGGACCACATGTGGTCCAAATATCTTAATATCTGGTTAAATGCTTGGTGATAGAGCTATTCTTTGTCTTGAAAAAGAAAAACAATTTCCTATTGACCAAATGGCCCTAAGAAAAGCTGATACAATTTGCTGGGGGAACAGTATGTCCTGAATGGACTCTACCCACTATTCACTGATGTTTTAAGGACTCCACACCCACGTCCATGCCACAAAGACCCCAGGCATTGAGGATTACAAACCCCATTGTGCTATGAATCTGCCATGATGCACGACTTCCTGAAGGGGGATTGTGGGAAAGTAAGGGTGGAGTTAGGCAGCCATGCTTGGTATACAACCAGTGTGGGCCTGGACTTGTCTGCTTTGCCTGCTTTTAGCATGCTCTTGGGCTCTCAGGTCAGAGTGTTACCAGAAGGACACATCCACCAACTCATCTCTCTCTTCCTTCTACCCCTACCTTTCTTCTTTTCATTTCCCTTTGTAAATAAGTCTTCCATTAACCTTTCTATGTGGACCTGTAGTTGGGTCTTATCCTAGGATTTTTTTAAAGCACATGGGTAAGTACTCACACCTAGGTTACCCTGAATTCCTCCTGGGATTGCCCTGTAACAAACTGACAATAAGTTGGCATCATTCCCCAGCAGCGCTTCATCTTGAACATACCAGCAACCAACGCTTCCTCTTGCGAGCTAGCCTGCTGATGTCGGTGATTGATATTGGCTCATGAACTTTTAAAATCTTTAATTTAGGGAGAATTTCATCCAGAAAGTGAAGACATTTCCTCCCAAGATAGTTTTCTTAAAAGGATACGTATATTCACATGCCTTATTTAGGGGTTTCAGGAAGATACTAGATTTGTAGGCTTAATTAAAAAATCCTTCTGAAAGGCTTGGACTGCACCACGAAAATTAAATCAAAACAGTAAGCTAAAATTTCAGGGTTTGCATCATATTCCATATTTGAGTTTTGTTAAAGGACAGTAAATAACTGTTTTTCCATTTTGTCAATCTTCATTCCTTCTACTCAAGTCCTTTTAATATCACAAACAGACCATTCAATATGATATGCAATTTTTTTATGGTGGGGAGCAAAGTTTATATTTTTGGTTGTAGTTTAAGGTCTTTATTTAAAAATAAAACCAACACCTAAGAACCCCTTAATACAAGAGAGCAAACAAAGTTCATCTGCTCTATAACTTTAGAACCAAAAGGGTTCTAAAAAAGTTAGCACATGGCAACAACAACAAAAAATAGAGCATATACTTTACAAACACTGATGGGGCCTACGTATGATTCACAGGACTATTTATGAAATATGACCAAGAACCAGCAACTCATTCAACTGGTCAATGTTTGTCTATGACATCTATGAACACTGGCTAATAAACTGTATTACTTCAGATTTCCCTGGGGATGTTTCTATACAGGCATTATCTCACTTCTCCTTTATTCACACAATTTGGAATTTAAGAAGATGAACAATTAGAGAACAAGAGCTTATCTATTGGTTTTATTTTCATAAATCATTTCAGCTTCATTTATTTTAGGTCAAACTGAGTTTGACAAAATTTATGCAAATAGGAACATTAACTGTTGGCTGTGGAATCTTTATAGGCTAAAGCATCAATCACTGGCTTGGGACAGAGGGGGCCCAAGTTGTGGGCCTAACTCTGTCATCGGCCAGTTGTAGTCCTGGTTGTGGGCAAGTTCCTTAACATCTCGTCATTTCAGCCCTCTTATCTACAGAAACAGAAACAGATAAGGGTACATATGGCCCCTGAAAAATGTCTACTGCTCTGCTTCAATGATTTCCTCTCTTTGAGAATATGCATAAAAGGAGCTACAGAATACAACCACATTTTAGGGAGATTGGCAAAGCCTCATTCTCCAAATGAGCAGGGTTTCCGATCCCCTGACAGTGAACAGAGCTCTCCCGGCTGTTGCCCAGCACCTACTTCAGTCCCGGAGTCCATTTCTTGGGAATGGGTGGAGACACGCCCGAGTCCCTCAGTTGGGGTCCCAGCTGGGGAATGGCTCTGCTGTACCAGGTCTGGGAGGTTGATGTGGCCGGCAAAGCCATTGCTGTCACTATGGCCAGATCGTTTCTTCTCTCCGGATGTCTGAGGGGATGAGAGAGAAAAGGCAGAAGCTGCTGAGTGTGTAAACCCATCACACGGTACCGAGCAGTAGTCTCCAAACTGACCCATCAAGGTGTGGGAAGGTAATATTCAAATTTTTATTTAACCTACCAGAATGAAAAAGTTAAGTTTGGCTCAAGTTTAATATATGGGTGAACGCTAAGTTCATGTAGGTTCTCTGATCACCTCCCCGCCCTGGCCTTTCCTTTCTAGAGTGTGTTCTGGTCTTGCAATTACAGTTCTGCATTGGAGTGAAGGGTGGCTCCTGAGGAAAAGGAAAGTTCCAGGCTCCATGCCCCTCTCAAGGGAGGGTGGAGCTGAGCAGGGAGAAGAAGAAACTGGAGAGGAGACTGAAAAGAAAGGAAGAAGGTTGGAAAGCGAGAAGGAGACCTGAGGGAGGCACATGTTGCAGAGAGACACGTGAAGAAACTGCTCTTGCTTCTTGGAAACAGATATGGTGAGAGATCCATGGGGAAGTTGACTCTGGCAGCTTTAATCTTGATTTTGCTCCCTCTATCCCAGACATGCTGGGCCCCTTCTACTGCTTTCCTATGGGTCCCCACCAGGAGGTGACTTAGACTCGTGGCAGGCTTTTGGGCCTCAGTGGCCCTGCTTTGGGTCAACCCAGTTTGGCTGGGCACTTACCCACAAGGGGGTAGGTGACTTCAATTGTAAGCTATACTCTTTGTCTTCTCTTTATTGAACACTAAGTACATTAAAGTTCCTTCCATGGTAACAATTTATGTCTGGATTGCCATTGAACCCTTCCAGTAATCTTCCATTTCTCCCATTTTCCTGATGGAAACATTGCAGTGCCACGAATTCAATGAACTTGCTCAGATGGACACAGGTTGTAAGAGGTGAAATCTGAGTGGTGACTGAAGCTGACAGCATACCCTGGGAGCTTGGTCAGCGGTGGCTCTGCACTTGGCCACAGTGGAATGAACTGGGGTGTCTAGCTGATTTAGGCAGGCTTGGAACCCCACTGTAATTTAATGTTAGATTTGAAGGATACTGCAGCGTCTGCTGGAAGATGAACTGGTGTGTAAAGAACATCTTGTAACGGGGCAAGAGATGCACAAGCACATGCTTGCTGAAGAAAGTAAGTTTGTGTGGAAAAAGACAACAAAGGAGAACTATAGAGGAAAGGTGAGATGACGACAGGAGGGATGGGCAGTGGAGAGCCAGAGGTGAGCACATGGGAGCTGTCTAAGCTGACCGCTCTAGTCCATGTTTCTGACCACTCTAGTTTCTGTTCTAGTGCTGCAACCAGCCCTGGAGCACCGCACACCCTGCCTTTGGAGCCTTGCCATGAAATCCCGTTCAATCTTCAGTCCCCTATCTCTGATACCTCCCTCCCCTACTTTTCTTTTTCTTGAGTTGTGTTATTTGGGCTCTTTCTCCTACTATTTCTTTTTATTTTATTTTTTAAAAAATTTATATACTTTTACATCATTCTTCATTTTTGTACAATGTATGTTTTTCCATCTCGGTTGTAATCCCCATGGACTCCCCACCACCAATTCACCCGTGTGCCATTACCACAGTCCCTTGTGTTCTTCCCCCATTTTGAACCTCCTCCCCTCTCCCCCTCTGCCGATTGTCTATGGTTTATAGTTGTCTGTTGACTTTGATTTTTACTTTATTATAATTACTCCCTCCCTAATTCCTTACATTCCTCTTAAAAATCAAACCATCAGTTCTTTTTCTTTCTTTTTTTTTTCTGACTTATTTTTGAGCATAATCCTTTCCAGCTCCATCCATGTTGCCACAAATGGCACGAGTTTTTCCCTACTATTTGTAGCCAAGAGAGTTTTTGTGGTGACAAGCTAGTGTTCTGGTTCAGGAGAGTGAACGTTCTAAATCAGTAGGCTGAACACACGTTGCAGAGATACCAGCTGTCATTTAGGAAGGTGTTATGTACAAGGCTCACAGAATCCCAGGAGAGACTGCAGGAGAAAGGGAAGACTGAGCCAGACCTACAGGGATCTCTGGGTGATGACTGGGAAGTGGTGAAGAGTAACTCTCTTGGCAGAAGGTCTCTTAGGAACAAAGGGGCATATGATGACTGATGCGTTGTGTTCTAGAACGAGAATAAGGAAAGGTCCTGTGAGGAGGAAAGGTAGGTAGAAGGGAAGATAGAACCGCAGTGGTAGCACACGACAGGGCAGTATTTGATCATGGGTAGTAGAGTCAACATGTTCTTTAGAATAATCTAGAGCACTAGCATCGGGATGAGTTGAGGGACTTCTTGATGTTCGACTTGGAGAACTGTACTACTAATAGGCTCTGTTAAAATGAACTTTATTTTATTTCCTTATTATTTTGTCAGAGACATACTTTAATTTTCATTTGTCTTTTTAATACTTACTTTTAATGGACTACTTACAGTTTGCTCTTTTAAAAGCCCACATTTGGGAGAGATAGCATTTAGAAATTATGAGGACAAAAAGATTTGAGGGCACTCAATAGTTCAAACTTTTGTAAAATATTGGCAAATGCCATTTCAAAATGATGGGTTGTGGTCATAAAATTTTGGAATGTGTTAAATAATAGGAAACCATTCAGATGTGAATGGCAACTGAACTAAAATTTCTACTTCAAAGTACAGTTCTGTCATAGCGACTCAAACAAATTTTAAAACACATTAGAAACTGCACTTCTTTTACTGGAATCAGAGAATAACTCATTCTAAAACACTTTTCTGTCCTGTTTTTCCAAGTGACAAGCTACAGTGATAGAAATCCTCTATTTTCAATGGTGAAAATATCCATTTACACTGGGAGATTTATATACCAGCTATCCTCAATGTCAACCTCAGCAGCCAAGTACATTTTTTCTACTTAGGTTTACGTGAAAAGACTCTTTAAAGCCTACTTGAAAGATCAGCAAAGTCATAAAGTGAAACTAGCAAGTTGCTTTGTGAAATGCACTTCCAGTTATAGCTCTGCCAATTATTAGTGCAAAGACCTATTCATCTCAAAACTACAGTTCCTTTTTTTTCTTACAAAAGTGAGATGGCCTCTGGCTTTTTGCAGAGCAAGGTCTGCTATGAGGGTTTCCTAATTTTATCCTGGTTGAAAGAGAATGATAGATGATATATGTTTATATTTTTTAGAGAGGGAATGGAGGGTAATAAGTAAAAGGACAACTCCATGGAGACAGTGAAATAACATACCATAGTTAATATTTATTGCAGCTTCACATGAAGTAACTCATTTAATTCTCCCAATCTTGAGTTACACACTATTAGTTAGTATTATAAGGTGGTTCTGGAATGATGAATAGCATATTGGAATTCAGGTGATGAAATTTTACAGATGATAAAATGGAGGGAGGGTGGTGACATCTGTCACTTTTGCCCAATCAGCCATTACTCTCCTTCCAAGCAAAGACCTACTGTCATGGTGATGACCAAGTTAAAAGAAAATGGATTCTGATTGATTAAGGCCTTGTGGACGGCAGATATGATGGGTACACGCATGTTGGAAAATCATGTGAACAGAAGCATGTTCCCTAACACAACAAAATGATTTTCTGAAATTTTAAGAAAACAAAATTACCCAAAGTGCTAAGGTGCATTTTCAAGTAGATCTACACATTTGTTTGTTCTTTCCCCAAAATTACTTAATGGCCTTTTAAAATGCTAATTTAACTGATAAAATAATCATCATTTCTTAGAACTACTAAGTATTTTCTATATAAGATCTGTGAGGATAATGCACATGGGGGGAGAGACATAAAAAGGCCACTGATGCCATTCAGAGACCATTCATTTGTTTTCCTGTGTACGAAACATCTGGGTTCACCAGTTTTATAGCTTGAGGCTCAAATTCTATATACTGATTTAAATAGCTCCTACTGAACAATTTGGACTAATGTAATTAAATCACACTGCAACAGCTTAGGAGGATACAGAAAAGAAGGCAGCAGACAATTAAAATCACCCAACCATTTAGAAGCACAGCCCCCCGCTCCCCACTTTTCTATGCTTAAAATATATGCTGTAAGCATTTTCTGTGAAAATGCTAATATAAAAAGCACATAAGATGTGCACTTCAGCTGAATGATTTTTTGCCAACTTACCTCTCTTATCATCAAGGTTCCCTCTCTTGAAATACTGCTGCTGAAAGTCTCTGCGTGAGAGGTCTCCAGCCCGTGCGTGCCCACCATCCCCACGTTGTACTGCTCAGTGCTCCCAGGAGCTCCCGTTGGTCTGGGGTGGGAAAGAACAATGTTCATGCTTGGGGAGGTATGTTTAGGAAACCTGTTTCTTGTTCATGTTAATTTTTTTATCATGTTAGAACACACAGAACATAACGTTAATTATGTTCAGGGAAATTAGTCAAAAGGAAAAAGATAAATATCGGATGGGTTCACTTACATGTGGAATATAGAGAAACTGAACAAAGGGGCAGGAAAAAGTCAAAACTTGCACGCTGACCATAGATCTGAGGCACACAGCGGGGGGGGAGGGGTCAAATCAGCACAGGTATGAGGAAGATGCATCACAGGTGCTATGGTGGTGGGAGGATTACAGGGACTAGATGTGAGGGGAGAAATCCAATACTGTCCAGCAATGAACAATGATATCAGAAAATAATTAAATGTCATAAAAATTTCAACCCTTCCCTCTTAAGGGTAATCAATCAAACCTTTTTTAAAAAGCATTTGAAAGTGTACAGATCAGTGGCTGTAAGTACATTCCATATTAATTTTTAATGTTTCACTGATGCCCAAGCGTGAGCTCCTCTTCTGTAGCCTCCCCTCTCTCAACCTCCAGTTCACCAGCAGCCTGGACGAGTGAGCTTCCCACTTTCCAAGGAAAATCACTGCAGTCACTGTCAGACCCCACCAGGCTCCGCAGACCTCCAAGCCCTTTTCACCTTGACCACTAACACGCTGACTAGTTTTCTGCAGGCACTATTCTTTCTGCCTGGAGACATTGCTCCCTCCTTGGCTCCTGGCTGCTTCCCTCATATATCTAATTTTATGTCCAGTGACATCTTCCCTGAGACACCTTCTCTAACTCCCTGTGCCTCTCCTATCAACCCTCTCTTTGTCTTCTTCATCTCTTCTCCTTAATAAGTCTTATCACAATTTGTAGATCTCTATCGTTTGGATTCTCTCAGAGTACAACAGAATCTTGGGAGAGTAATTGGCACCCTTTGCTCAATACCGACCCAGGGCCCAGCACAGAGCAGAGAGCACTGTAGGACACAAGAAGCAATCACTGGATGAAAAGGTTTGACACTATAAAGAAGAAATGTCAGTGACTGGCACTCAGGTTGATGGCATCCATCAAGCAGGTTGTTTTAACAGTCTTCTGTACTAATATCACCCTCCGTAAATACCCCACATTGTGGTGTATGTATTGAGGCATGTCTTTTGCTCTTCTATTTAGAATATATTAGAGACAGTAACAGGTATCAGCACATGCTGACAGCAGAGACTGAGGCTCTCAGTGGCCTGTCCCATAGACTGCAGCCCTGTGGGAAGTGGCCAAGCAGGAGATGTGTCAAGGCTTGCTTCTCTTAATAAGTGTACAAGGCCCTCACTGGTGGTGCAACAGGCTAAAGTGCAGCACTATTATGATAGCCACAGCTGCTTCACCACAAGTTGGACACCCACAGCTGACCTTACTCACATGGCCCAGCAGACCTCTACTGTCTTGCTGGCTGTTCCCCTCAGCAGTGTACTTCATCGATCTGCCTTCTGTGCTCCCCACTCTGTCTCTGGTGAATCCTTTCACCACCCCTGCACCCCTGGCCTGCACCCCAGTCAGTTCTTGTAGGCATTTTTTTTAAATAAGTGTATTAATTGCCTCTTTTATTATTCTGTCGTTTAATCGCTTCCTGTGTGTTTATAAAAGAAATCTCTGGTGTCTGTGGTCCTATCCCAGGATCAATGGAGTATTCAATCCAGAAGAAACAAACTATATTTGTGACAGCTGTTGGACAGAGAAGACATCTGTAAGAATTTTTATCCAAAAGAGAGAGAAAAGAATAAGGTCTGTAAGCCAATGTTTCAGCAATTAAAAAAAAAACAAAAAACAAAAAACAAACAAAAAACTAGAAGGTAAGTACAGTTCTATGGTGAAGGATTATGGGTGTTTTGGAGGTAGGTGTGGTGTGGAGACAAACATCCAAGGAGATGTGAATCTATACCTCTAAATCATATATATTGTTGTGACCCAAAGTTACCTCAATAAAACAAATGAAAACAAGAAACACCAGAGCTAATAAAATGGAAACACTAAAAAAACCCCTACATAACAACTAGCTTACTTTGCAAAATACTGGAGCAGTGGATTGAATTAGTGCAAATATGGCTTAGAACTGATGTGTTTGGGGAGAAATCCCAAAGACAAATTTACAGTATTTCCTTCCTAGAAGGGAGTTATGAATAGTGTTCCACAAACATGAGAAAAGAAATCACTGCAATGAATTTCTGGCAAATTGCTAGACTGGTAAGTCAGAATAGTTCACAAAATGATAATTTTTTTTAACTCTTTTAGTTGAAATTTGTTTTTTCTGGTATGTCTTTTCTTTTGTCTGGCTTAAATATTGGTTGAGAATATGATGGTATAAAACAAATACATCAGTAAGTGAAGCATTTATCAAGGGTCAAAGCCTTCAGAGATAGGAAGCATTTTCTCCTTCCTCACTCAGGTGTTCATTGCCACTGCCAGAAGCTAGACTGATTGATCTGGTGGCCACCACCACGCTGACATATTACCCACAGATCCTCCACCATTAAAGAGTCCCAGGAGAGTGCGGAGATTAAGGCAGTTTGTACTGCTTTTTTTTTATATCTTGATGCCCTGATTCTAGCCAAATATTACAGTAAAAAAATGTGTCACTGAGTATGAATTTTAATGATGAAAGGATTTTCTAGAGCAATTTTCAATAAGAACATATCTTGATTAACAGTTCACTTAATCTCAGTTAAACTCTATCACAGTTTTTTTCATTCTCATTATTGTACTAAAATTATCATCACTGGTTCCACCTTTTTTCTAGGCAAATTGTACAGATTTAATACTGCTTTCTGTATTTGCGTCATCTTTTAAAGGTTTCTGTGGTCACAGCTTCACAAGCCCAGTTTTCCTGGGTAAATTTTAAAGTATAATTCTTTAAAGGAAATTTATGTTTCTTTCTAGTCAAGAGCAAGTTTTACAGTGTATAGTGTCAGCCTCTGTCACTTTTACTTTTGTCAAAAATCTTCTATTTTTTTTTCCTAGGGTCAACTTACATACTTTCAATTTTATGAGCCAGAACTGCTATGAGAAATTTTTTTGTGAATAGTTTGGACGGTTTTGAGTTTTATTTTACATTATCTCCTCCAGTAACGGTCCTTACAGACTGAATCACAAATAATAATCTGTATTTCTTCTATAGTCAATTTTCTCCCAAGATGGTGAGCAATTCCTCTCAGATAGTTTGTTTATTATATTGTAAAGATTTTTTTTTGTATTATGACTCTCAGATATATATTTGCTGCTTGTGTGTCTGTTATAATTGTTGTCTACACCATTAGTCTTTCTGTCACTATACATCCTGATACAGAGTGATTAATTTTGATTATTTAAAATTCTCACAAATTATTCCAAATTCTAAAGCACCTCCTTAAATATTTCTTCTTAAAAGGCAAAGTGCAGCCAGAGTTCATATATCAAGGACTGCAGTAGGGTTTTTTAAACCCTGAAAGGGACTTCTCGTTGGGCTTGCCATCGTATCACTCTTCCCACTCTTCTTATCTTTCAAGTTTTTGTGAGACAAACTTTCTCTGAGTTTCCTTTAAATTTTCTGTCCTTTTTTTATTTCTTTTATGAACTGGAGCTCCAAGCTCTGACATGACAATCTTTGTCAACCCTAAAGTTTGTTCATTTGCTCATTTATTCATAACCTTATAATAGGTTGCTATATGTCTTGTGTTAGATGCCAGAAAATTTTAAATTGTAAAAATCCTCAACTTCCAGGGCCCTCCCTGGTGGCGCAGCGGGTTAAAGCACAGCACTAAGAAGCTAGAGCCACTTCTGCATGAGTTCGATCCCTGCCTGCCTCGGAGGTGACCCACATGGCGTGGCAGACCTCTCCTGACCCGCCCACTGCTCCCCTCTGCAGTGTACTTTGTTGATCTGCCTGTTCTGCTCCCCTCTCTGTTCTCTGGTGTATCCTCTCACCCTCCGCATCTCTGTCCTGTACCCCAGTTCCATATGAATAAATAAATAAATCTTTAAAAAAAATCCTCAGCTTCCAGAGGATCTAAAGAAGGTTGAGAGACTAATAAGTACAAAGAATGACTGGCAAAAAAATATATAATGATAAGTTTTAAAATATATTATTTCTAATTTAGTCATAAAATAGTTTTGCAATGTAAACGTAGTATTTCTAACTTAGTGACAAGCTAAATAGACAAGAAGAACAATGCTAATTGGAAGTGCCTTTTTTCTTCTTCTCTTTCCTGTGTTTTCATCATCCCTCTATGTTGGCTTTCTTTCAATTAACAAACATGACAAGATCTTACCTGTTTCGCATTTCATTAAAATGTTAACTTGCATTTACCACTCACACTGAAGTTTATCTCTTTAAACTTAAGTTCTCTTTGCTAAGGTCTCAGTTTCCTCTAGTTTATTACTTGACACGCTCCTCAAACCAGCCTTTTGGGTACTTGACTTCATGCACCTTAAGAAAACTCCATTAAGGCATTTCTTAGCTATCAAATTCTATGGCTTAATTTTTTGTCAGTTTTTTTTTCCTGTTTTGTATTAGCTCTCAAATATCAAATTCAATGAGCACTTTGGCATTTGTGTTGTCGGCCTCTTTCCTGTGCCAGTTACTTCCGCTCCCCCTACTCCATCCTTTTCCACTCTGCTGTTTTTGGACAGACATTTGCCTGATCTTCCTTTTACCTCTCTACTCCCTTCCTTTCCTTCATGAGTGCTGCTCAAGTACTACTGGTCTCAGGATTCTGCCCTACATCTGCTTTTGGAAAGCTCCTATTTACCACACTTGTAATCATCACCCATGTGCGCAACTTTGATATTAGATTCCCTTTAATTTGTTATAATACAAAGAGTGAACCTTGCTGCAAACAAATTTAAATACACCATTAAGGATTGGAGAAGCCTAGGGAAAAAAATGTATTATACAATTTTACTGAAAGAGAGCAGAGGGAGGGAAGCTGGGACAGAAGTAACTCTGGAAATAAATA